CGTACATGTACTACTTCACTGATCAACTCAACATCAGGGAAACAAACAAACGAAACCTAAACCGTTTGTCATCAAGTTGATTCTGGGTCATGGTGACCCCATGTGTTACAGAGTAACACATAGGATTTTCTTGGCTGTAATCTTTATGAAAGCAGATTGCCAGGCCTTTCTTCCACTGTGCCACTAGGTGGGTTTGAACCACCAACCTTTAGGTTAGCAACTCATTGCAAACTACTTGAGCCAGGGAACATCGGGGAAAGCATCCCAATTTTCCTCGTCGTGGGGACACTATTAGAGCTTAATTTAAAAAGCAGGTCACTTTTTCTTTACACTCTCTTAAATTATAGTGTCTCAAGGATGAAATACTTCCAAACTCATTCTGTGAAGCCAGCATAACCCTGATACCAAAACCAGGTAAAGGTACCACAAAAAAAGAAAACTACAGACCAATATCCCTCATGAACATAGACGCAAAAATCCTCAACAAAATTCTAGCCAGTAGAATTCAACAACATATCAAAAAAATAATTCACCATGACCAAGTGGGATTCATACCAGGTATGCAGGGATGGTTCAACATTAGAAAAACCATCAACATAATCCATCACATAAATAAGACAAAAGACAAGAACTACATGATCTTATTAGTTCATGCAGAAAAGGCATTTGACAAAGTCCAACACCCATTCATGATAAAAACTCTCAACAAAATAGGAATAGAAGGGACATTCCTCAACATAATTAAAGGCATTTATGCAAAGCCAACAGCCAATCATCCTAAATGGAGAGAGTCTGAAAGCATTCCCACTGAGAACGGGAACCAGACAAGGATGCCCTTTATCACCACTCTTATTCAACATCGTGCTAGAGGTCTGAGCCAGGACAATTAGGCTAGAAAAAGAAATAAAGTGCACCCAGATTGGTAAGGAAGAAGTAAAAGTATCTCTATTTGCAGATGATATGATCTTTTACACAGAAAACCCCAAAGAATCCACAAGAAAACTACTGGAACTAATAGAAGATTTCAGCAAAGTTTCAGGATTCAAGATAAACATACAAAAATCAGTTGGATTCCTCCACACCAACAAAAAAAACTTCAAAGGAAATCACCAAATCAATACCATTTACAACAGCCCCCAAGAAGATAAAATACTTAGGAATAAATTTAACCAGAGATGTAAAAGACCTGTACAAAGAAAACTACAAGACACTACTGCAAGAAACCAAAAGAGACCTACATAAGTGGAAAAACATACCTTGCTCACGCATAGGAAGACTCAACATTGTGAAAATGTCTATTCTACCCAAATCAATCTACAGATACAATGCAATCCCGATCCAAATTCCACCAGCATTTTTTAATGAGATGCAGAAACAAATCACCAACTTCATATGGAAAAGGAAGCATAAAGCATTACTGAAGAAGAACAAAGTGGGAGGCCTCACACTACCTGATTTTAGAACCTGTTATGCCGCCACGGTAGTCAAAACAGCCTAGTACTGGTACAACAACAGATACATAGACCAATGGAACAGAATTGAGAATCCAGATGTAAATTCATCCACCTATGATCAGCTGATATTTGACAAAGGCCCAACGTCCGTTAATTGGGGAAAAGACAGTCTCTTTAACAAATGGTACTGGCATAACTGGATATCCATCTGGAAGAAAATGAAACAAGACCATACCTCACACCATGCACAAAAACTAACTCAAAATGAATCAAAGGTCTAAATATAAAATTGAAAACAATAAAGATCATGGAAGAAAAAATAGGAGAATGCTTGGAGCCTTAATACACAGCATAAACAGAATACAAACCATAAGTAACAATGCCAAACACCAGAATAGAAACTAGATAACTGGGAGCTCCTAAAAATCAAACACTTATGCTCATCAAAAGACTTCACCAAAAGAGTCAAAAGACAACCTACAGACTGGGAAAAAATTTTTGGCCACGACAAATCTGATCAGGGTCTAATCGCTAAAATCTACAAAATATTGCAAAACCTCAACAACAAAAAGACAAATAACCCAATTAAAAAATGGGCAAAGGATATGAACAGGCACTTTGCCAAAGAAGACATTCAGGCAGCTACCAGATACATGAGGAAATGCTCACAATCATTAGCTATTACAGAAATGCAAATCAAAACTACAATGAGATACCATCTCACCCCAACAAGGCTAGCATTAATCCAAAAAACAGAAAATAATAAATGTTGGAGAGGTTGTGGAGAGACTGGAACACTTATACACTGTTGGTGGGAATATAAAATGGTACAACCACTTTGGAAATCGATTTGGCGCTTCCTGAAAAAGCTGGAAATAGAAGTACCATACGATCCAGTAATCCCACTCCTAGAGAAATAAGAGCCGTGACACGAATAGATACATGCACACTCATGTTCATTGCAGTGCTGTTCACAATAGCAAAAAGATGGAAACAACCTAGGAACCCATCAACGGATGAATGGATAAACAAATTCACACAATGGAATACTACACAACGATAAAGAACAACGATGTATCTGTGAAACATCTCATAACATGGTGAATCTGGAAGGCATTATGCTGAGTGAAATTAGTCAGTCACATAAGGACAAATATTGTATGAGACCACTATTATAAGAACTCAAGAAAAGGTTTAAACACAGAGGAAAATATTCTTTGATTGTTACGAGGGTGGGGAGGGAGAGAGAGGGGTATACACTAACTAGATAGTAGGCAAGAATTATCTTAGGTGAAGGGAAGGACAACACAATACAGGGGAAGTCAGCACAACTGGACTAAACTAAAAGCTAAGAAGTTTCCTGAATACAACCAAACACTTTGAGGGACAGAGTATCAGGGGTGGGGGTCTGATGACCATGTTTTCAGGGGACGTCTAGGTCAGTTGGCAAACAAAGTTTATTAAGAGAAGTTTCCGCATCCCACTTTGGTGAATGGCATCTGGGGTCTTAAAAGCTAGCAAGCAGCCATCTAAGATGCATCAGTTGTTTGGGAACCCACCTGGAGCAAAGGAGAATGACACAAGGAAAATATTAGCCCAAGAGACAGAAAGGGCCACATAAACCAGAGACTTCATCAGCCTGAGACCAGAAGAAGTAGATGATGCCCAGCTACCACCAATGACTGCCCTAACAGGGAACACAACGGAGAGTCCCTGAGGGAGCAGGAGAAAAGTGGGGTGCAGAACTCAAATTCTAGTAAAAAGGCCAGACTTAATGGTCTGACTGAGATTGGAGGGACCTCGAAAGACATGGCCCCTGGACTCTCTGTTAGCCCAAAACTAAAACCATTCCCAAAGCCAGTTCTTTAGACAAAGATTAGACTGGACTGTAAGATATAAAATGATAATCGTTAAGAGTATACTTCTTAGCTCAAGTGGATACATGAGGCTAAATGGGCAGCTCCTGTCCGGAGGTGAGATGAGAAGGCTGAAAGGGACGGGAGCTGGTTAAATGGACGCGGAAAATCCAGGGTGGAAATGAGTGTGATGTCACAATATAGGGAGAGCAACTAGGGTCACATGACAATGTGTGTATAAATTTTTCTATAAGAAACTAACTTGAACTATAAACTGTCACTTAAAGCACAATAAAAATAAAAAAAATTATAGTTTCTTGTCTGCTAAAGGTGCCCAACTCTTTATTGGCACTGTAGATGAACTACAGTACTGGTGGTAAAAAATTTTATTGCCATTTATTCATGCAAATGTCTGTTTCAAGGGCTTTGTTCTAAAAATCCTGAAATGAGTTTTACATATCAGAGAGAGAATACTAGCTAGAGGTTTTTATTTCTTAGTTATACCAGCCTACTTTCTAATAACCATACAGTTGATTAACTACATTCCCAGATGATTTAATTTACTTTTAAAACATTTTGCAAATATGCAGAAAAATGGAATTTGAGGACTATGTTTTATTCTGGTAAATACATTTTAAATGTATTCTAGGTTTATTCTCCAAGAGTGTATTCTTTCTTTAATGGTCCAGTGATTACTGTAATTCTAATTCATTATGCACAATGACAGCAACTTAACTGGGGTTATTTTGTATGTTCAGGTTAATATTTTCTGTTACTGAAAATTTAATTCAGTACATTTTATGTTAGTGAAATCTGCCTGGTATCTTTGTGTCTTCTGGTTATTACTGTATGGTCTTTAATATGTAAAATAAACTCTTGGGATGCTGGCTACTGCATTCTGGTTTCTTAGTGCTTATCACTGCATTATAAATTTGACAGAATAGGAGTAACATTAGTGATAGATAGAAGTTGGATTCTGAAAGTAATTATCATCTGTAAAAATTAGCATCTGATCTCTGTTCTAATTTTAAATTAAAATGAGGTACTCAAGCAACATAGATTCTGTTATTGTCATAGCTGAAAATATAATGGGTCTATTTTGGCCAAAGGAAAAAAAGACTTTAAAATTATCTAATTTTAAAATGATCTAATTTTTTTCCTAAAGGTATATATGCTTGGCTTAAAATTATAATCATTAAGTATCCCCAGAATCGTTATACTCTGTCTTGAAAGTAATGCAAGAACCATTTGCTATAATGACAAGTTGGAATTTTTGAGAATACTTTATTCAAAAACAACAATAACACCAGTACTTTACCCAGCCAGCTAGCTGTGTCTCCTGGCAACATAGCTATTCTCTGGTTAGATATTTTGAGTGTCAGATACTATCCTTACCTGGGGTATGAGGTATTGATATGGCAACATGTTATGATAAAAAAGGCCATGGACTTGAGAGGTGTACCAACTTAATGTAAAACTCAGCTGTGTCACTTTTGCTCTAGTACCTTGGACCTTGGACACACTATTTAACTTCACAGAACTTTTTTTTTTTTTTCTCCTCTGTAAAGCAGAAATTATCATAATTCTTTAGAATAACTATGAGGATGAAAGCACCCAGAGTAAGTGCTCATTCAATGGTAGTTATATGAGAAATACAGTATGGTGATGATATGTTTTGATATTCTCTCAGGTGAAGTGAAGGACAAAAATGTTCAGGTGGTCGAGCTTCCCATTGTAGACAGTCTTCATCCCCGTCCTCCATATTTACCCCTGGCTATACCAGAAGACCTTGCAGATCGACTGATTAGAGTCCACGGTGATCCTGCAGTATGGTGGGTGTCCCAGTTTGTCAAATACTTGATCCGCCCACAACCTTGGCTGGAAAAGGAAATAGAAGAGGCCACCAAGAAGCTTGGCTTCCAACATCCAGTTATTGGGTAAGAATCTGATTTGCTCCTTATACAATGATATGTAGCAGCAGGGTTACGTGTTTTTACATTATGTTGTAAAAGGCTAGTTTAATTTTCATAGCCTTACCAAGGAACAAACGATCCAGAGTTCACCTTAGGTTACAGAGAGACTGTTCTTCCTTTGTTCACTTAGAACAGCTAAGTCATTGTACTTTGTCACCCTTATTCATTTATTCATTCATCAAATATATTAAACCCATATTTCTGAAATTAGCTGTCTCTCCTGGGGAAATCTGGCAAAATTTTACTTTATTGGATATAATACATGACTCCTATCTTACCTTAACAGGGCCATGAGATGAAGATGTCACATTTACAGCTTTTCTGGTGCTGTTTTTTTTGTTTTGTTTTTCTTATTTTTAGGCTTCATTAATTGCCACTGGTGATTATTTTGCATTTTTTATGTTCTGCTTTCTGTCCTAGAAGCTATCTTGAGAAGTAGGGTATTATTTTTAATATGAAATAATGTTAAAATTATTATTTAGAATTCTCTCTTGACCCACTAGGGAGTTATCATCTGTGTATATATTCAGTCTTATGCTTGGTAAAGGGAGATATATCAGGAAATCCTACGAGCAAGAAAAATTCCAAAAAAGCATCTTTGCTGACAAGCATGTGCTCCTATACATATACATAAAACATTATGGAAAGAGGAGTTTTCCTGGGTGCTGATACCATATTTCACACCATGGAAAATGTTCTTTGTAATTAGAGCTAATGGAAAAAATATTGGACTGAGAGTTAAGTGACCTGGGAAATATTCCTGGCGTATCCCTAGTTGAATGATTCTGGGCCAAGTTACTTAATAATAGTATTAAAACCCCTTGCCATCGAGTCGGTTCTGACTCATAGCAACCCTATAGGACAGAATAGAACCGCCCCATAGGGTTTCCAAGGAGCAGCTGGTGGATTTGAACTGCCGACATTTTTTGGTTACAAGCCGTAGCTCTTAACCACTGTGCCACTAGGGCCCCATGAATAGTATTAGGCTTTGATTTTTCCATCTGTAAAATGGGGAAGGTAATACCTGCTCTAAAAATGATAATGTGATGAAGTAAGGATGAAAAAAGGATTCTAGTTCTGTGAAAGAAATGCACTATAAAATATTATTACCATTCAGAAAGATTGATGCTTAAATATTCCTGAAAATAAACTTCTAGACTAGACTGTGGCATTCTGCAGCCTGTACTGGTTATGATAAAGTCAGCCATTGATTAATATTAATACATGTGTTGACTCATTCACTTTATTTGCAGAACATTTATTGAATACCTGCTATTGTGAGGGACAGAGATTAATTATTTTTTAAATGACTCCTTTCCTGCTCATTACAGTATAGTCTATAGTAGAAGAGACTCACACAAGTAAGCACTGTACAGGGTAGAATATGATTAATACCTTGAGAGAAGCATAGAAAATATTATAGGAGGTTAGAAAAGGGAAAAAAGTACTTCCATCTGGATCATAGCTACATTGTTTGAAAGTCATTATAGCTATAGTATTTGAACAGGATATTGAAAGTTGGAGAAAACTGGTAATAGTACAGTAGTTGAATTACCAGAATACCTACAATTACATTATCTCATTTGATCCTGTAACATAATCCTGTGAAGTGGGTAGAGATAACCATTTTACAGATGAGAAAACTAAGGTACAGAGAAATAAAATCTCTGCCAAAAGTTCTAGAATTAATAAAAGGAAAACTGGGACTTCAACCCGGTTCAGTTCTCCCTTACAATACCACATTGCTCTTCCTGCAACACCCGTCTACCCGCACAGAGATAAATAGTTCAATTAACAGTGTACAATCCAAATTTGTATGTTGTCTTTGAAATGCGTTATATGATTTTTCTTTCTATAGGAGAAGAACCTTCTCAACTTTGTTTGGATTTCCTGTAGTTTTATAGACTAGAAAACTAGCCTTATTCATTTACCATCAACAATCCACAAGTTAAGAGTTTAACAAATATAGAAAATTGAAGTGTCACAGGCAGCTAAGTTATTTGTACATTGAGATAGTCTGCTATAATAGAAAGAGGAGTGGACTAGGAGTCAAGAATTTGAAAGTCACATCTACCTTCCATTACTAACAAATCGTGTGGCTTTGGGTAACTTACTTGATCATTCTGAACCTCTCTTTCCTCGTTTTTTTTTAAATGAGGTTAGATTGTATCTAAGGTTTCCACTAACACAATAAGTATTTTTGTGCTTGTGTATCAGTCAGTCAGTCATTTATTCATTGTGTTTGGTGCAATTGGGAATGAATAAAATCATGTATCTCTTGCCCTGAAATAGCTTGATATCTAATAGTGAAAATCAGGCAAGTACACAGTTAACTTTTACTTTTGTGAAGACTCAGTTGAAACGTATGTAGGATAAACCAGCTTCCCTTTGCCTTATGTTATCTATAGTTTTATTTGTGGTAAAACGTATATAACATAAAAGTTGCCATCTTAACCATTTTTAAGTGTATAATTTAGTGGCCTTAATTATATTCACAATATTGTGCAACTGTTCCCACTATTTATTTCTAAAACTTTTTCATTACCCCAAACAGAAATTCTCTGTACCCATTAAGCATAACTCCCCATTGTCCCCTTCTTCTAGCCCCTAATCTTTCTGTCTCTGTGTATTTGCCTGTTCTAGGTATTTCATATAATTGGTATCATACAATATTTGTCCTTCTGTGTCTGGGTTATTTCACTTAGCATAATGTTTTCAAGATTCATCCATGTCATAATATGTATCAGTTTCATTTCTCTTTATGACTGGATAATATTCCATTGCATGTAGATACCACATTTTGTTCATTCATTCATTTGTTGATTGTTGATAGACATTTGGCTTATTTCCACCTTTTGGCTATTGTGAATAATGCTGCAATGAACATTGATGTACAAGTATCTGTTTGAGTCTCTGCTTTCCATTCTTTTTGGTATATATCCAGGAGTGGAATTACAGATTATATTATCTTTTTGTTCACTGAAATGTCTTCAGAAACATCATTTTCTTTAAAGTCGGATGAAGGAGTTATATTAAATGACTTCTCACATTTTTCACAGGCCTAATGATTCTTCTGTAAAAATTCTCTTATGGTCCTCTCTCAAATTATTGATCCAGGACAAATTTAAGGAGTACTTGGAGGACTGAGAAAATTACTTAGTAGTGCTCTGCCACTCTGAAATGCTCTTTTCCCTTTGGCTGTCCTAGTATTACATGTCTCCTTTATTTTATTTTCATATTTCCTGCCCCACATCTTCCCTTTTTGTGTCTAGTCTTCATATGTAGAGAAGTTACTGCTAAAGTTAGAGCTAAAGAAAGTACATAGTGAAGTCAGAGTATTAAATAGTGTTTTCTCTCATGAAACTTTCTATTGAAACTGAGTGGAATTATTCTTTCTGCCCCACTTTGTCTCTGTGGAGCACACTGAATAATTCTAATTCACCAAGAAAAGCAGTGTTAAGCAGGATGTGGGTAACAACAAAAAGACAAACAGCCCAATCAAAAATTAGGCAAAGGACTTGAACAAACATTTCACCAAAGAAGGTATTCAAATGGCCAACAAGCCTATGAAAAGATGCGCAATGTCATTAGCCATTAGGGAAATGTAAATCGATTTTGAGATATCACCTCACCCCCATTAGAGTGTCAGTGATCAAGAACACAAAAAACAACAGGTGTTGGTGAGGATGTCTAGAAATTGGAACCCTTATCCATTACTGGTCTGAATGTCAAATGGTATAGCCACTGTGGAAAACCATTTGACAGTTCCTGAAAAAGCTGAACATAAAACGACCATATGACCCAGCAAGCCCAATCCTAGGTAAATACCCAAATGAATTAAAAGCAGGAACACAAACAGAAACCTGTACACTAGTGTTTATTGCAACACTTTTCACAATAGCCAATAGGTGGAAACAGCCCAAATGTCCATCAACAGATGAATGGATAAGCAAAATGTGGTATACACATACAATAAAAAATATTACTCAGCCATAAAGAAAAATGAAGTCCTGATACATGCCATAATATGGATGAACCTTGAAAACATTATGTTGAGTGAAATAAGTTAGTCGCAAAGGGACAAATACTGTATGATCTCACCTATATGAGATAAGCAAATATTTAGAAACCAAAAGTTATTAGTGGTTACCAGAGTGGAATGGAGAGGGAAGGGGGTAGTTTTTGCTTAGGGGACATTGAGTTTATGTTAATGATGGTAGAATAACTTGAAAATGGAGAGTGATAATTGTTGCACACTATGAAGAATGTAATCAGTGTCACTGAATTTTACATGTAGAAATTGTTGAATTGGAGAATATTTTGGTGTGTATATTTTCACCACAATAAAAAATGCAAAAGAAACAAAGGATGTGGAAAGGAAAAGATGATAGAGTAGGTGCTCATGTGATAGTATCCACATCTAGACTATAGTATGAAATGCAAAGGAAAGAATAGCCACGAAGATGGTAGAGTAACTCTGGTAAAATCAAAGCCTAATTCTAAATTCATAATAGAAGGATAGTTTTAGGCTGGACCTATGCTTGTTGTTCCAACCCTGCATTGAGGTTTCAGTAGAATCAAAGTAATAGGTGCCCATATACTGTGACCCAAAGGAAAATAAATATCTTTGTCCTTTTCCACATTTAAATAGTGGTTCAGAGCCCTGGTGGTGCAGTGGTTAAGAGCTCGGCTGCTAAGCAAAAGGTTGGCAGTTCAAATCCACCAGCCACTCCTTAGAAACGCTATGGGGCAGTTCTACTCTGTCCTGTAGGGTCACTACGAGTCGGAATCGACTTGATGGCAACGGGTATGGTTTTGGTTTGGTTTAGTAATGGGCGTGAGAGGGAGGGGCAGATTTAAGGAGAGTCTTTCAATTTATGAAAACAAACTATAACTCTTACTATTCTTATTCCCACTACAATTACTTTGGAAGCACTAAAATGTGAGGAGAATACTCTGGAAGTCAGTGTCTTTTTCATTGCAGGACAATGTAAATCTGTATCCTCAGTTTTATGATTTCAGGGCCTTTCTTAAATAGGACAGTATCTGCTTGCGATTAATAGAGTGAAAAACAGAAAGGGGAAATTCGTGCATACAACAAAAGGGGTGGATGACTCCGTGAACTGAAAATAGTAAAATCCCTTAAGTGGTTTGCCTGCTTTGGCTTTGACTGTGCTATGGGAAGATAGAACCAGTATAAAATGTATCAAAATGAAGGGGGAAAAAAACAAAACAAAACAAAAACTTGGTCTCAGAGGATTACAAACAATATCTTTAATGGTCTATAATAACATCTGTGAATCCTGGTATCACTTTGTCTCAAAAATCTTAAAAGTTATATCCATTTTTTTCTGGAAGGCTGGTGGCATTTTGCCTCTTGGTATGAATTACAACCCTGGAATCTCCCCTTATTCCTCCTGTGCCAATTACTTTCTCCATAAGAAAGCATTCTTCAAAGGCTTGATTTATTTTCTAATTCCTCTTGTATTGTTTAACATGCCTTGCAAATATATTTAGAATGTATGTGTTTGAGTTGTTTTTTAATATTTATTTTATTTTTCCTAACAGTGAAAGTGAACCAAAAACAGGTTTAAAAATACCCATAAGCCCACTATGAGTAGGGGTATAAAGTTGAGTACCCATGAAGCACCTAGTGGATCAAAACATTATCAGCAGAATCTGAATTTTTCTTCTGCCCCTCAGAGTCCATGTCAGACGTACAGACAAAGTGGGAACAGAAGCAGCCTTCCATCCCATTGAGGAGTACATGGTGCATGTCGAAGAACATTTTCAGCTTCTCGCACGCAGGATGCAAGTGGACAAAAAAAGAGTATATTTGGCCACAGATGACCCCTCTTTATTAAAGGAGGCGAAAACAAAGTAAGTTAGACCAACTAGTGATTCTTGAATGAGATTTTCTCTTACAGTTGGAAAGGATTCTTAATCTCCATGACTTGTGATTCTTGTTATAATATTATTACTAATATTGGCATTTTTTAATTCATATGATTGTGTATTTGTGAACTTGTTAATCTAATCAAAGCATATTTTATTAGCCATATCTGATAATGCCTTGTAACAAAAAAGTCTAAAATGAACCCAGCCACTGACGTATGAATCATCATTATCATCATTAAAAGCATTTGCTGATTAATTATACAGGATTGTTAGCAATAAAACACACCAGGTGCTTGCCCTTCTCGTGTCACTATCTTCACTCTCAATTACGGGCAATTGAACATATATATAAGATAAAGAGTTTTCATCTTATAAATTTATACTAAAGAAAGGTAAAGAATCAAAAGATGAGTTTTATAAATGGAGGAATAGGGACTATTAATATGTATTGTACAATAACCATCATTTATGAAGACTACCTATATTTCAGGCACTCTGATAGGTGCTGGGGTTTTCTTGATAACCAAGACTATCGCTGCTCTCAAGGGACTACCAGTCTAGAGGTGAAGAGACAATTACGCAACAGTGTGAGTAATGCTACCATAGGGTTAAGCATAGGGTGTTATGAAAACACATAGGCAAAGTGCTGATCTTAATTGGAATTTCTCATTATAGAATCTGGGTGGACCTGTAGTTGGCCTTTATTTACTACCAGTAAATACAGGATTTATGAAATGTATGTGAAAGTAGAGAATGAAGGAGGAGAAAATTACAGCCTTAGCTCTGTTCAGATACCATCTTCTCGAGAAATCATCCCTGAACCCTTGACTGGGTAAAGTGCCCCTCCTCTGTACCCCTGAAACACTTCGTGCATTCTTCTGTTGTGGCGTTTAGTACTTGCTTACCTCTGTCTCCCTCACTAGATTATAAGCACTTTGCACAGTTTCCACCACTAGTAAGTGCCCAATAAATATTGTGTTTTTTTAATCCTGTCAGTTTGAAAACATTTTATTAGCAGTTAATCATTTTAAGCTATTTGGCCGTTTAATAAGGAGCCCTGGTGACACAGTAGTTAAGTGTTTGGCTAACCGAAAGGTCAGCGGTTCAAACCTACCAGCCGCTCCTCAGGAAGGTGTGGCAGTCTGCTTACATAAAGATTTAGAACTTTGGAAGCCCTACGGGGCAGTTCTACTCTGTCCGGTAGGGTTGCTATGAGTTGGTATCAACTCAATGGCAATGGATTTGGGTTTTTTGTTTTTGTTTTGGCTGTTTCATTAATTAACATATTTCTTGGCTCTTCTTTTATGTCACAGAAGAGAAACAAATTTAAAACGAGTGCTATAATTCCAGTATTTATCCAAGTCAATGGATAATAAGTTAAATCCTATTTCTACCTCCTAAGAATCTAAATTAACATTCTACAAATTGCTATATATAAATAAAAGCAAAGGGGCAAGAAGTTTATTAGCCAAGTATAACCATGGATTAATATAAGAGTTAGGGATTAAATGAACATTTGGGCACAAAACAGAAGAAAATTTCACAAACATTTTTCCATTTTGATGTTCAGACCTGTAAAAGAGAAAGTAGAAATAGTTCACCATGCTCCTTCATTTTAAAACACCATACTGAATTTGTACAGTGTTTGAAGAAAAGAGACTAGTTTTATCTCCTCTTTTACTTGTTCTTGAATGCATGACAAGCTTTATTCCTTTATTAACAAAATAATTTATGCTCATTAAAAAGTATGGAAATTAGAAAATATACAAGCAAGGAAAAAATATTATCCACAATTCCATTACTCAGTGGCAACAACTGTTCAAATACTGACATATGCCTTCCAGTTGTTTATAAAGTCACATTTTTAGTAGTTGATCATATTCTATATAATTTGAATTATGTTTCATTCAACATAACAATAGATCCTTTTTTCCAAGTCACTAAAAAATCACTGTGAATATCTTTTTTGATGACTGCATATTCACTATATGGATTTGCCATTACTTATTTGACCATTTTTCTAATATTGAACAGTTATGTTGTCTCTAGTTATTTACTTTTATAAACAATGCTGCAATAGGTGCCTAAGATTATCCACATTATTTCCTTACATTAGATTTCTAGACTTGGAAGTATTTAGATCAAAGGGTATGAACACTTTTACAGCTTTTGATCCATAGTGTATGTAGCATGACATTTTTACACCAAGCAACCCTTATAGTACAGTTGGCAGTATCTACTTAGACGGTGGGAATAATAAAACTTGAACTTCCTCTTTGTAGTCAGCAGCTATAACTCCTCTCCTCATAATAATCCAGGCACCACTTTTCTCTATATTCTATAAATAAATGTAGTTACCACATTTTATGTATAATTTTTTCCTCTTTGGAAATTCTTTAATTTTAATTTTCTGAGTCATTTCAGAGATTTTCTCAGGAATTCAAATGCTATTTCTCTCCTTCATTCTTTTATTTAAGTGTTTTTCCACTCTGAAATAACCCTGCGTTAGTCCTCTCAGGACTGGTTTTCATACTTAAACAAATCATAAAACCTCTGTCATTGTTTTAGAAGACCAAAAGCATGAACTAATCTCTCAACATGGTATATAGTGCCCAAGGTCATTCTAAAACTTTTCTGCTTCAAGAGGGTGAAGAGATAAAAATTAAAATTAAATGGTACATAGGGTTCACGTAGAGGAGACTCCATTTTGGGGGTTAGCTTATCCTTTGAAAAAGTGGTCAAGATTAGCTTTATACATGTGGCTTCTGTGTGAAGCTGAGCAGCTAATCCTTTGCTGGTTGGTATTATACCTCAGGTTTCTCAAGGTTAAAATTAAGTTCACCCACAATATTTTAGCACCAGAGTCGCAGTGACTGCGGCAACCATTGCTAATGTGGCAATATCTCTCTTAGGTAATTCACTGTTAGAGTGTTTAAATCACACAATCACTGGAAGTCAAGGAAATAAGGCAGACTAAGTCCTTTTAAAGTTGACTAGCCAATATTGACTTCCAAGATGGTGGAGACTGGTAATAGGAATGACATAGGAGGAAAAACAAACCTTTATAAATCTCCCAGATTAATTATTTACATGTTTAGGTTTGCTGTCTATCAAAAGTCCTGGGTGAGTTCTTCCTACAATTAGGTTCTTTGACATAGAAGCAAAAAACTTGTTAAAAAGTTTTTTGTAGTGATTGGTTGCGCTATGAGATGAAGAATCAGCAATAGGAGTACTAAATTTCTTCACTGTTTTTCTTTTTTAACTCCTATTATATGCTAGACACAGTACAGGGCACTAAAAATACAAAAGTAAGTAAAAGATAACATGTGGCTCCTAATTGCAGGAAATATCCAGCTGGTAGGCAGTACACATGTAATGATTAATTACAGTGTAATTAGATAACGTGCCCTAAAGAATTTATATGCTAGGTATAGTGAAATCAAGAAGAATGTCTACCTTAGTCTGTGGAAAGAATTCAGAAAAGAAAATTTGATGTTAGTTTATAACTTTAAGCTATTCCTTTGTGGGTGGTATAAAAATAAAGTTTACAAAGTAGAAGAAGAAGAAAAAAATTCTTTTTAGCATTGCCAAACTCTGCAACCTCAAGGTACAAGAATTCTTCTGCTCATCCCTTTGGGAGCAAGGGGGAATGAAGAGAACAGGATACAAGGAAGAGATTAGTCCAAAGGACTAATTGTCCACAGCTACCAAGGCCTCCACCGGACTGAGTCCGGTACAGCTAGATGGTGCCCGGCTACCACTACTGACTGCTCTGACCAGGATCACAACAGAGGGTTCTGGACAGAGCTGGAGAAGGATGTAGAGCATAATTCTACCTCACACAAAAAAGACCAGATTTACTGGCCTAAAGGACACTGGAGAAACCTCGAGAGTATGGCCCCCAGACACACTTTTAGCTCAGTAGTGAAGTTACCTCCGAGGTTCACTGTTCAGCCTGGGAGTGGACAGCCCCATAAAACCAAATGAGACTAACGAGATACAGGAGTCCAGTGACAAGGGCCAGAAGGCAGAAGGGGACAAGGAAGCTGGTGATAGGGAACCCAAGGTTGAGTAAGGATATTGCTGATGTGTTGTGAGATTGTTAACCATTGTCATAGGGCAACATTTGTAGTAACTGTTAAATGAGAAACTATTTTGTTCTGTAAGCCTTCATCTTAAGTGAGAATAACAGCACAATTCGAAGAGCGTAGTCAATGTCACTGAACTGTGTATGTAGAAGTTTTTGAAACGGTGTATCTTTGGCTATGTGTATTTTCACCAAAAAAAAAAAAAGAGGTTGAGAAGTTAGAGGGTTAATATGTAGTGGGGTTGTTAACCAATGTCATAAAACAACATGTGTACTACTGTTTCATGAGAAACTATTTGTTCTGTAAGCCTTCACCTGAAGTGCAATAAAATATAAAAAAGAAAAAAAAAAAATGAGACTGACGAGGTACAGGAGTCCAGTGACAAGGGCCAGAAGGCAGAAGGGAACAAGGAAGCTGGTGATAGGGAACCCAAGGTTGAGTAAGGATATTGTTGATGTGTTGTGAGATTGTTAACCATTGTCATAGGGCAACATTTGTAGTAACTGTTAAATGAGAAACTATTTTGTTCTGTAAGCCTTCATCTTAAGTGAGAATAACAGCACAGTTGGAAGAACGTAGTCGATGTCACTGAACTGTGCATGTAGAAATTTTTGGAATGGTGTATCTTTGGCTATGTCTATTTTCACCAAAAAAAAAGGTCGAGAAGTTAGAGGGTTGATATGTTGTGGGGTTGTTAACCAATGTCATAAAACAACGCATGTGCTACTGTTTCGTAAGAAACTATTTGTTCTGTAAGCCTTCACCTGAAGTACAATAAATAAATAAATTATAAACGCGCATATTAAAAAAAAAAATAAATTCCTTTGCTGACATACCTGTGGGCAAAAGACAAGAAAGAAGCATGTTTGTTCAGTAAAATCCAGAAGAGTCTATGCTCATTATTTAGAAGCGGAAAATCTCCCTTTCCCATTATTCTTTGTTTTTCTGCTTTCCTTAACCTTCATTAAGCAGTCTTTTGCGTAAAGAAGTAAGACCTGAAGAGCTTAGGTCCGCTTTTGGTTTGAAATGGGCCTTTAAGTCAGGAAGGGCATCAACGCTAGTGTCACCTCTCAGTAAATGGATCACTCCTTTTCTTTGTTTCACTGAGCACCCAAACCATCCTGACAAAATTGGTCTTTATTCAAGGATAAAACCTGCTCTGGTGTGTTTTAGCAATTCCTCCTCTCCTCCACCCTGCAGCCTTTTCATATTTATTTGTTGCTGTTTCTGTCCCATGCCTGGATATGCAGCTTCACAACGATTACATTAAAAGTCTTTCTGGCTGTTTTCTTTTTAGAACAAATGTGACATTTCCTTCATCTCCCTGATTCTGAGCTGAGGAGGGCAAAATGTCAAAAATAATGAGGCCAAATGGATCTGAACACTGTATACCAGTCTGAAAACAGTGCTTAGAGACTTTGCCTTCACAGTCATCATTAGAAAGGCAATGAGGGAAAGCTCCTTGGTGGCCGTGAAATGAAGAAAAGTCTGAAGCAGCTGTTAGGGGATTAGGAAAAAGTCTCAAACATAGGTAGCAGTTATTTGTTCATTTTATTTATTCACACAGTAATGTGTGGAGTACTAGGTGATGTCATGCAAAGAAAAATGAGGCACAGTCCCAACCTTTAGGGCATACTATGTTGGAGACACATGTAAACTGAATCTTGCTGTTTGAGGGTTTCTAAATAGAGACTACTATTCTTTCAACAAATGTTGACTGAAGCTGTTATATTTCAGATATTCTTCTAGGTACTGAGAATAATACAGTGAGCAAAGCAGATGAAATGCCTCCCTTACATTCCAGTTAAGGATGACAGAGGTGTGGAATGGATGCAAACAATAAATAAATAGTAAATATATATGATGACAAATGGTAATAAGAGCCATGGAGAAAAATTAAACTGGTAAAAAGGATAGAGACTGCCAAAGATATCACTGATAAGGCAGCATTTGAGCAGAGACCTAAAGGAAGTAAGGAATCAAACTAGTGGATGTCTAGGGGGAAAATGTTTAGCAGTCATGGCTGATACTTACAGAGCATTTACTACACGTCAGGTACTCTTCTAAGCATTTTACATGGCTTAATGTATTTAATTCTCATGAGATTGTATGAAGTAGGTACAATTGTTATCCCCTTTTCATATAACTTCCCAACATTTGCAACTTAAATATGAAGATCTACCTCATGAACTGAGAATATTTGATTCACTTTATATTGTTGTTGTTAGTTGCTAGCGAGTAGGCTCTGACTCATGGCAACCTTATGTAAAACAGAACGAAACAGTGCCTGGTCCTACACCATCTTCATGATCGTTGGTATGTTTGAGTTCATTGTTGTGGTTACTGTGTCAGTCTGTTTCATCGAGGGCTTCCCTTTTTGTCTCTGACCCTCTGCTTTACCAAACACGATGTCCTTTTCTAGTAATTGGTCTTTCCTGATAATGTGTCTGAAGTAAGTGAGCTGGTTTGTTTGTTTTTCTGGCAGTCCATGATATATGCAATATTCTTCGTCAGCACCTCAATTCTAGTACATCAGTTCTTCTTCTGTCTTCTTTTTCCATTGTCCAGCTTTCTTATGCATATGAGGTGATGATTGAAAAGACCAATCAGGCACACTTTAGTCATCAAAGTGACATCTTTGCTTTTTAAAACTTTAAAGAGGTCTTTTGCATCAGATTTGCCCAATGCAATAATATGTCATTTGATTTCTTTTTTTTTTTTTTTTTTTTTGAGGACTGCCCCCCCCCCTTTTTTGTTTTTTTTTTGGTGAAAATATACATAGCCAAAGATACACCGTTTCAAAAATTTTTACGTGGACAACTCAGTTACGTCGATTATGTTCTTCCAGTTGTACTGCTATTCTCACTTTAGATGAAGGTTTACAGAACAAAATCGTTTCTCATTAAACAGTTAGTACACATGTTGCCCTATGACAATGGTTAAGAACCCCACTACCTGTCAACACTGTCCTTACTCAACCTTGCGTTCTCTATCACCAGCTTTCCTGTCCCCTTCTGCCTTCTACTCCTTGTCCCTGGACTGCTGTGCCTCATTAGTCCCGTTTTGTTTTATGGGGCTGTCTAATCTCCGGCTGAACAGTGAACCTCGGGAGTGACTTCACCACTGAGCTAAAAGGGTGTCTGGGGGCCATACTCTCGGGGTTTCTCCAGTTTCTGTCAGGCCAGTAAATCTGGTCTTTTTGTGTGTGTTAGAATTTTATTCTACATCCTTCTCCAGCTCTGTCCAGAACCCTCTGTTGTGATCCCAATCAGAGCAGTCAGTGTCATTTGATTTCTTGATTGCTGCTCGTATGGACATTGATTTTCAATCTAAGTAGAATGAAATTGTTGACAACTTCTATACTACAGTAAAATTAAACCTCTAATTCAGAGTGGAGTCATTTGAACAGTGATTTCCAAAAAAAAAAAAGCCCTGTTTTAATATTTTGAGATACATGTCTCATCATAAGACTACCAAAATGTTACTTGGTGTACATCTACAAAAAATTTGCTTTCATTAATGTATTAGATTGGCATTCCAATATTATTATTGGTTGGAAATAGATGGTGATTTAAGAAAGGGGGGAGGTGAGGGGAGACTATTAGTTCACATAAATTTTTAAAAAAATATTCATCTCTTCTTAGCATTTTTAACTTATAATATCAATAAAACATTTATAAAGTCTAACCTATGTTGAATTATCACAATTCTAAACTAAAAATGTAAATTAAATTTTGTCATGATATTTATACTCTAGAAGAAAAACTTAGTGAACCAAATAAGAAAAACAGCTTAAAAAACTCAGAGAGGTCACTTGTTACAAAAAGAATAAAGATCTTCCTGTTTTCAATTTTTGTGAATTGAGAAAAGACATTTTGATGTGTGTGTGTGCTTTTTTATACGACATGCCAATAACTTTTAATATACAGGGAATTCCAGAATGGTTTCCACCCCAATGATGGATTCAAAGATGCCTCACTGACTACTCTATTGAGTGTCATAATTAAAGCTCTCCTTACTGTTAGAAACAGAAAAGCTCTTGGTCAAGGAGCAGGTCTGCTTCCTGAGAGGATATTGTGGTTTTAGTGACTGTGTGTAAATTTCTTTTTTCAGGTACCCCAATTATGAATTTATTAGTGATAACTCTATCTCTTGGTCAGCTGGACTGCACAATCGATATACAGAAAATTCACTTCGGGGTGTAATCCTGGATATACACTTTCTCTCCCAGGCAGACTTCCTAGTGTGTACTTTTTCATCCCAGGTAAGTGACAGTAGGGCATTTTAAAATTGCCAGTATTTTTTGGTCTTACTGGGGTCAGGAAAATTGTTCTTTTGCTTTTATTTTACCTTTTTTTAATGTTAGTTATCAGGACTCAGGTCAATTTTCCTGATATTTAGTAATGATCCCTTTGGTGAGATAATGAGAAGATTCTGTAAAATAGCTATTTCCGTGCACTGAATATTTAGTTGTTTGCAAGCAATGGTTGAATACCTCTCCACTGAAGCCAGTTACTGAAGTTGTTTAAAGTACTTGGCTTGTTCACAGCATTTAACAGAAACAGCAAGTAATTAAGCTTACTTAATACTTTCTGATTTTGCACGCACTCAATGTATAACCAGAATCTGACCATTTTTACACATCGTTACACTGATACTGAGTGCCTCAAATGCACAGCATTTTGCTTCACTTGATTGCTTTATATAAAATAAGAAAGAGTAAGTGTAATTCTTTAAGTCTTATTACATTTCTACCAAGTAGGAAACTGTACATTACATTTAACCAATACCTTCAATCATTCTTCTGAGTTTAATTGTTGCAGATTAATTATATGTTATGGGCTTGGTGTGTGTATGTTTTTATGACTGGTCCAATCAGCCTTATATGCTCAGTGGAATAATTAAAATAGCAATATTTGTTGTGGATTTTATTCTGCTCTCTAATTTATGCACATATTATTGGCTAGTTCATTTAACATGCTGTTAAATGACTATTTTGTGTTCAGCATTCTGTTAGGTGCAGAGGGGAGTTCAAAGGAGATTGAAGACACAGATCTTTCCCTGGTCTAGAATCTAGTACGCAAAATACACATGAAAAAACTAGAGGAAAATTACCAAGAAATATAAATTGCTATAAGATAAATGTATGCCCAAGTCCTGAGAAGAAGCAGAGAGTAGAAAATGTGAAAACGGAAAGCCACATCATTTTCATGGGAACATAGTTCAGAAAATAAAAAAAAGACAGTTTTTTATTACATAGTAGTATCATTGTTGGAAAGATACCTACCCAGGCGAAGGCTATGCCTTCCTTCAATGTGGAATAAGAATATAACTGTACTATATACACAGAGCAGGAGTCACACAACAATTCTCATCAGAAGGGAAAACTTCCTTGGCTTTCAAGTTCCCATGAAGGCATCCACTGCTAATATTTCTTCCTAATTAGGGTGAGGATCCTGTCTTTGAGAAGCGCTCTTTTCCAATTTCATGGTGGGGGCATTTTACCTACCTTGTCCCTCCCAGCTGTTTTTGGGAATCTGGCTATGTACCTACCTGATCAACAGGTGCAAGTAACTAGTAACAACTTGCACACCTTTCTGAATATTTCTTGTTAGAATGAGTGAATCAAGGGTCACTTTCCCAGCTGTACTGCCTCCCCTTTAGGCCTTAGTTTTAGGCCTCTAGTCCATGGTTTCTCAACCTCAGCACTGTTGGCATTTTGAGCCACGTAATTCCATGTTGCGAGGAGCCATCCCGTGCATTGTAGGATGTTTAGCAGTATCCCTGGCCTCTACCCATTATATGCCATTAACACTGTTACCTCAGGTTGTGGCAACCAAAAATGTCTTCAGACATTGCCCGATGTCCCCTGAGGGGCAAAATCTACCATTTGAGAACCACTGCTCTTGTCATAGGAGCTCTGGTGGCACAACAGTTAAGCGATTGGCTACTAAGCAAAAGGTTGGTGGTTCGAACCCACCCAGCTGCTCTGTGGAAGAAAGACCTAGAGATCTGCTTCTGTAAAGGTTACAGCCTAGACAACCCTATGGGGCAATTCTTCTCTGTCACATAGGGTCTCTGTGAGTTGAAAATCGACTCAATGGCACCTAACAACAACAGCTTTAGTCATAAAACTCTAAAATTAAATAAATACATACATGACTGAACATTTACCTACCTTACATGTGGGTAGGTACTGAGATTTATACGGATGTGCTCGATTCTTTGCTTTCCTTCTTCTCGGCTTCCTTAATAATACCATTAGGCTCATTCTGGAAAGAAAGGCTGGCCTTGGCCTTATGTTATATCCTTCTGGTGTTACAATATGAACGTGGAGAACAGAACCTACAAGAGATAATATGCATAGCAGTTACAAGTATAGACAGACTGCCTGGGTTCAAAACGTAAATCTAACCACTTACTAGTAGTATAATCTTGGGCAAGTTCCTTAACTTTCCTGGGCTTTAATTTTGGCATCTGTAAAATGATCATAATGATAGAACCTTATTTGGATATTGAGGTGGTTAAATTAGATAATATCTAAAAACAGTGTCTGGCAGTTAGCAAAAGCTTGGGAAATATTAGCCTTTATTATTATTAGTGTAGTTTGCTATTATTGTAATTGCTTTGTTTTTATCATTTAGTTTCTTCATTTCCAGAGTCCCCATTGATTTTGCTTGCCCTGTATGAGCCTCTGGCTGAATTTGAAGTTTGAGTTCCAAATATTTTTAATCCCCATTTTGTTATAGTCTCAGTATTCTACCAGGGATCTCTGTTGACCTATGACGTTCCCAGTATAAAATTAGCTTATTGGTAAAGTAGCACACTTGAAAGCAAAGTTCTCATGGTCTTGGTTCTATGTCTAGTTGTAATTCTAGCACTAGAACTTGGACAAACCACTTAATCTCTTTGTATTTTAGTCCCTATCTGCAAAATTAAAAATAATGTCCAAACCCAGCTGCATTTTAAAATTAAATATAGCATTTGAGAATTGCCCTTCAAGTTCCTGGAATCCAGATGCTGTAAGAAATTGAGGTGATAGTTAACTCATTCAAGTTCCATTTGCTCATAAGAGTTAAGAATGAGCATCTCCATTCAGTTTTTGATGATCTTCCTGAATGCTGAGGTTTTAAAGAACTTTCAGGTAATCCTAAATTGCTTCACTGAGCAGATTAACAATCCCTACTAGTAGTTTCATTTTAAATAAATGCAAAATAAAAATAAAAAATAAATGCAATAAATCTTCATTAACTGAGATAAACCACAGCTGGAGATTTGGGAAAATTTGACCTGAGTTCAGTATTCACAATGTATAAAGGAAGGATCTTATAAACAAAGTGATAATATTCTCTCTTTTGTCTTCACCTATTCTTAGAAAAAGTTCTGAAACCCATTTTCTCTATAATGAAAATATTGATTACTCAAAATGTTACCTCTCCATGGATATAGTTATAGTTTAACTTTGTCACTAAGTGTTAAGCTCAAGAAATGTAGCTCATGACACAATAGAAGGTCCCAGTTCAAATGGGAGAAAAATGTAGAACAAAACTCAGATTCATAAAAAATACCAGACTTATTGGACCAACAGAGACTAGAGGAACCCCTAGACTATCATCGTAAGATACCCTTTTAACCTGGAACTGAAACTACTCCCTGAGGTCACCTTTCAGCTCAATAATAGATTGGCCTATAAAATAAACAATAACACCTGTGAGGAATGTGCTCCTTTAAACAATCAACTATATGAGAGACCAGACAGTTGACAGTTGCACAAAAGCAAAGATGAGAAGACAAGGAGGGGCCGGGAACCTGAATGAATGGAAACAGGGCAGGCTGGGTGGAAATGGTGAGAGTGCTGACACATTACGGGGATTGTAACCAATGTCACAGAACAATTTGTGTAAGAATTGTTGAATGGGAATCTAATTTGCTGTGTAAACTTTCACCTAAAACAATAAAATATTCAAAAACAAAAAAGAAATGCAACTCAGACTGTGGAATATTAGCTGCCATCCAGTGAGCAGAGAAGGTCTTCTTTGGACATAGGTATCTTTTATGAAGCCCTAAAACTACACTAGTCAGGTAGATGCATACTGTATCTTCCCCAGAGATGAGTCTAGTTTATGTTGGTCCAAGTATGCTGCTTATTTACCCAGCACACTTAAAACTCTTTAGAACAGAAATGGCAGCTATGTTTTATCTCACTTGCTAGTGCCGGGTGATTATCAGTAACTACCTTCTTCTCTGTTGAGAAGAGTTCTGAGACCAAGCCCTGTATCAGCAGAAAAGACCATGTGATTGTAGGAAAAGAGAGTGGCAGCATTTGTGTCAAGTATTTACAATCCTAATCCTAAACCTTAAATTCTTTAACGGCAGGAACTACTCTATGTCTTACTCATTTTTATACTACCATTGCCCAGCATGCAGTACTGTGGGGTTCTTAATAAAGGTCATACTGAAATTAACTAACCCATATTCTTAAAGGACCTTGCAACATATATATGTATTTCTTTTTCTCCCAGAGATCTTAATTATAATAACCTTTTGTAAGTAAGTAAATAAAGCACAAAGTTGAAGAATGACTTGACTTGCACCATCATCTGAGAGCAAATGGACTGACAACTTATGACTAGAATTCACTATTTCTCAGCCTCTCAGTCCTGGAGCCCCATCTCTTTGGCCAACGGTTTTCAAATTGCTGTGAAGGAGAGCTTTTATATATTATATTAACAGATGTTTTTTTTTTCATTCTTTCCCAAGGTCTGTCGAGTTGCTTATGAAATCATGCAAACACTGCATCCCGATGCCTCTGCAAACTTCCATTCTTTGGATGACATCTACTATTTTGGAGGCCAGAATGCCCACAACCAGATTGCCATTTATCCTCACCAACCTCGAACTGCAGATGAAATCCCCATGGAGCCTGGAGATATTATTGGTGTGGCTGGAAATCATTGGAATGGCTATTCTAAAGGTGTCAACAGAAAACTGGGAAGGACGGGCCTATATCCCTCCTACAAAGTTCGAGAGAAGATAGAAACAGTCAAGTACCCCACATATCCTGAGGCTGAGAAATAAAGCTCAGATGGAAGAAATGAACAACCAAACTCAGTTCAAACCGTTTGAGCCAAACAGTAGACCGAGAAGGCCCTGACGAAACAATGTGTGGTTAAATGAGTGGACACCCTCAGCATTGATTGCAACTGAGAACAGACAGATGCTTCATTGGTGGAATTCCTCTTTAACAAGGGCTGCAACGCCCATACACAGTCCAATAATGTACTCACATATAACATGCAAACAGAGGTTGTTTTCTACTTTGCCCCTTCTTTCAAGATTGTCCCCATGAAACAAACACTGCCACAATGTATAATTTAAATGACACAGACATATTTTGTGTGAGACTTCAAACATGGTGCCTGTATCTGAGAGACCTGTGTGACCCAATGAGAAGACCCAAATAGCTCCCTACTGTTAGGAGAGTTAACTCTTAGCCAGTGGTGGTGGTGTGACCACTGAGTTCACTCTAGTCAACAGATTCAGAATGAGAACAGCTATTTTTTTCCTTTATAAGGTTATCTGGTTTTTGTTTTTGTTTTTTTTTTAAATAATTGCATCAGTTCATCCACCTCATCATTAATAAGTGAAAATAAAATATTTACACTCCATTAGGAACTTTTGTAAAACAATGCCATGAACAGATACTTTAGTACTTAATGTTTCTGGACATTCTCTTTGATAACAAAAAATAAATTTTAAAAAGAGGAATTTTGTAAAGTTTCTATAATTTTGCATCATTGGATGATGTGGTGGTCAGCTTTATAGTGGAAGAACCATGATAAAAAAAAAAAGGAGCTTTATAGTTTTTCTGCTTCTTTTTTCTTTTTTTCTGCTTCTGATAGAGTGACTAATCACGGCTTAGCTCAGACAGTCATTGGCCTATTTTAATACTGAAAACTGAGTTTAGTTGGTGTACATTACAAATTCGCTAAGAATACTTTTTGGGAGTTTTCATTCTCTTATTTTGGATATTGTTTAATTATTTTTAACTGAATAAATTAATCATACTCCTTGCCCGCAGAGGAACTGTTAGCACCATTTCTAAACCTAACCATTTCAAACTTGTTTAGTAACCTTTCTTATTGTGGCTGTTGTCACTTTTTGTGAGTTGGGTCCTTCACTTTATCTGCGTACCAACTTGTGCCCTTTTCTATCATGTCCTGCTTTTAAGAATACCAGAATCTTTGGGGCTAGGAAGCTGGCTCTGTTTCTGAAGTATGTGTCTCACATTTGTAGACTTTGGTTAACAAAAGAGAAAAGGATCATTGTGAGACCCAAAATGAACTTGGGGTTATCTCTTCCACATATTTCCTTGTAGTAATACCATGTCAGATCACTTCAGAAGATACACTTTGATATTCCCGCTGAACATCACTTTTCTCCTCATAGAAAAACTCCCTATTGGTATATAGCCTGCCTCCTACAGATGCCTGGCAGGAACATTTCGTAGTACGTGTTTTACCTTCTAAAAGAAAAACTTGATCTATGTAGGAACCAGTAGCACACTGGTTCCAGACAGAAAAGCTTAGTTAGCCCCTGGCCTTCACATCCTTAAAATGAAAATACCTGTATGCAAAATCTCAACAAACTTCCCTAAATTCTTTCTACCTCTCGATTCAAGGTTCCCAAAGAGCAAAGACTGACTGTCTAGAGTATTAGTAAGCAATTTTCAATTTAGTTTTGGTACAAGTCATTTGAAATAAAAATCTCCAGTGAGCCAAGATAATGAGTTACTTTCCAGCTTCCATCTCACTTGTCATCAGAACATCCATAACTAAGGGTCTGACTTGTGCCCTTCTAGGAGAGCCAAAGGTAAATCAGTCTCTTTTTTCATTCTAAATTGATGCAGTTCCAGAAATAAAAGGACTGAAGAACAGAAAGATGGTGGAAATAAATTAAGGAGTGGTTTCCAAATGGTGGCAAAGATTTAATTTTGGATAGTGTATCTTTCAGTTCTTTAATTCCTGTTTGATTCTTTTTTATAGTTTATATTTCTCTACTGAAATTTCCTCTATTTACTACAAGCATGCTTTCCTTTACTTCATTTAACATAGTTGTAATAACTGCTTTAAAATCTTTTTTCTGCTAAGTCCACCATCTGAATCATCTCACAGTTGGTCTTTTCTCCAGAGATTGATCATATTTTCCTGGTTCTTTATATGTTGAGTAATTTTAGATTGTATCCTGAACATATGTATTATATTGTGGATTCTGTTATATTTCTCCAATGTGTGATGATTTTTTGGTTTATGTTAATATACAGTTAACTTTACTAGACTCAAACTGTAAACTCTCTTGGACAGTAGCCCAAATCTCACTTCAGTTCTTTTCTCTTTAGCTGGAGTCTGTCCTACACATGTAAGGTTCAGGGGTCAAGCAGAGATCTGAGTAGAGTTTATATACAGAATTTGGGGGCTCTCCTTCTGTGGCTCTTTTTTTCCAAGATTTTCCCCCTAACTTTCCAGCAGCTACAGTTGCCTTGTACTCTGTCCTCTGGTTTCTTGACCAGAAAGACTGCAGTTTTCTATTAACCTAAAAGCCATAAAGACAGGAAACTCACAGCAGACCATTTCTTTCAAGTTTCAACTTTTCTCCCGAATTTGCCTGCTTTTTTGTTTAGTCTCCAGTGCCTTCAGGTAAGGTTTTTGTTTTGTTTGTTTTTTTTTTAATTTTGTTAAGAGTTTATAGTTGTTACTTGTGGAAAGATCACTTCAGTAGACACTCCACCATACAGGAAGTAGAACTCCTAGACAGAAACTGAAAATGATAAAAAGTGTGTGGAGGGGTGGCAGGGGTAAGCAGGCTTAGTTCTGTGATGGCCCGTGTTTAGACTCTGGCATCAATAGCTAAGCAGCCGGTTGCCTCAGGCAGCAAGTATGAGCTAGCCAAATTGCTACACCTGCAGGAATGAATGGCTAATTAACTGCTGACCACATCTTTCTGAAAACTTTTCTGATCCTCTTTCTTAGAAATCATCATGTACTTGGTGGTGATTCCGCCTATACACACTGCCGTGCTGGGAGGGCTGACATCTCCTCACCACTGTTATATTTTCTCCACAAGGACCTTGTACTTAAAAACCCTGAATGGTTTTAAATTGGATGACCAGTGCTAGATTAGAGTGATTTTGAACTTTTCCTTGTTAGAAGACCCATTTCTGAAGAGATTTATCTGGAACCAAATTATTAGCTTGAGCTTATTGAATGTGAGTAACAGAATCCTGCATATTAATGATAAAGCTGTTATAAAAGGGCTTACCATGGCTTTTCTGGTCACTCAAGTCTGATTTAGTGCTGAGCTGGGCACTTAAAGCGTTTATGCCTGCTATGAAAGGGCTCTCAGTCCAAGGTTTCTTTGTATCCCAAATAAATAAGAGACTAGTTGCTTCCTTTTCTGGGCTTTGGTTTTTTCCTGTTACATAGAGCTAAGCCTGTTCTCTGGGTTCCCTCTTAGGAAGGTAGAGAAGGTGAACAGTCCCAGCTTCTAAAGAGTTGAGGGTTAAAAGAGAAAAAGCACATTTAAAACCTGTCTCATAGAGTGACCATTGTCATCACTATTCAGTTCCCAGAGAGTAAGTCAGTGTATTCAGTGAGCAGGAAAAAGTGTTGGGGTCTAAATAGTACATCTACTAAGAGTCTCCTTCTCTGCCCCATTCAGAGTCTCCTACTTGAGGGGAAATAGACAAGTCCCCTTTAGCCATACTTAACTGCCTGATGTTTCATGTGTGCTCCCTGTAGACTGTGCAATAGCTGGGATCGGTAGACCTATGTAGAATAGATGTGTGGCTTGGGGATTGGTGAATCTGGTAACTTGGCTATAACACCCAATTTATGCCAGATACAGACTCTGGAGAATTTTTTAAATGCAGTGCCCAAAGGGGAGCACAAAGGAGAATTTGTCTGTATTCTTACTGGTTCCTGACAGCAGTCTCCCTCATGGAAACATGGAGTAGCTATTCCAGGATCCATAGCAGGGCAAAGGCAGGCCTTGGCAAGTTCTTTGGTTTCAACTGTCATTGACATTATGCATGTTTGAGCACTAGCCCTTCCCTTGTACATTTGCTTCTGGTTCTTTATATAAATCAGAATCTCTGACCTGCTCAGCTGTTCAGCCTTCCACTTCCAGTCCAGTTCAGTGGCCACAGTAGACCTGCTTTACTCTTTTCCTTATCCTTAAATAAGACAATTTTGTATTCCTACCACCTTCAGACAGTGATCTCATGTGAATGGTTCTCTTGACCCTACCAGTCATGCAGTTCCTATCCTAATAACTATAGTTTGGTCATTGGCATTTCCAATATATAAAGGGAAGTAAACATCCCCTAGGAGAGTTTTAGGTAAGATATTTCTGGACCTGGGGCATAATGATACCGTGTATTCATGTCAACTTAAAAGATTCCAAAGATTTTTCACAAATCAGCATCACTACAGTTGAGGGTAGCATGGCTAGGCCACACTTTGCGTAAAACTATGTCAATCTGGACAGAACCTGTACTTTTTTAAAAACAATGTATTGAAGGCCATGGCCACTTGATGTTTTGGGAAGTGAGCCAGGAAGAGAGTTCAGAGATCTTACTGACCTCCTACTGTCTGTAACAGTTCTGTATAACCTCCTCCCCTACCAGTGTCCCATGAAGGCTATTGTTGCCTAACTAACTGCTTGTGTGGGTAAAGAAAAGGCCCTTAACAAAAGAAAAAAGTGCGTTTGTTCCCAGCTGGGTATGAGAACATCTGTGGAGGCTGGGAATGTGCAGTACTCTGTATAGACTGCACAGATATTTTAGACTGTGGGTGTGACCAGTAGCCTGAGGAATGCTGGGACTTTGATTCCAGGCCAGTCTTATCTCTAGTGAATTGAAGCACCTAAGAATTTCTGGCCCAGCAAAAGAAATGGGGGGTAATGGGTACAGAAGCAGAAAACCTAGCTCTCAACTTTGTTTCCCCTTGTCATAGTGCCTCTAAGCAGATAATGTCCCTGGATCTCAGATTCTCTGGTATCAACAGTATTTCTCACCAAAGATCACTGAACTGGGATTCAGAATACCTGGCTTCTGATTTTGACTCTGGCATTAAATGTGGACAGATCAAATAGTTTGGGAGGGCTTCATTTTCTTCATCTGTGGAATGAATTGGTTGGATTTATCCAAGATTAGCAAATTTGATTGTCTAGTTGGGCTCCATATGTCTAAAGAGGGCAGCCACCACTCAGCTTCAGCTGATTATTGTCATAAGGACACAATGTCTTCCTGTTTTTCAAGATAAGCAAAATAACTTTTTTATGCAAAATCTTCAGATTTTTAAATATTGGCAGCTAATTCAAAAAATATATAAATCACTAATGGGGGCAAATAAAATACTTGTGGCTACTTTTGGTCCATTGTTCATGAGTTTACAGCCTCTGGTCTAGACCGAGAAGGTTCTTTTCTAATTCAAGATTCCATCTCTGGAAGGGATTGGTAAGGTGGGTAATAGCTGAACAATGCTTTCAGTGTCAGCTGATGTGCATGCTTCAATTCTTTGAAAATGTCTGCCTGGCTAGTTCTCATCCTGGGATTATAAGTAACTTAGTATGCAAAACAACAGGGTGCTTTGGCAGCTTAGACCTTGGACCCTCTCAGACTCTTCCTCGAGGACCCAAAGCTGGGATGTAGTGCCCCATTTCAACTGCCCTTAGCACCAATCTTGATTTCCTATGCTCAAGTTCGCTCAGAGGCCATGACTCAACATGCCACGAACGAGGTTCCAGCTTAGGGAGTTTCTGCTGTTTTTCTCCATTACACCCAAATACCAAGAGATCAGAGTATGCTTCCAGCCTCTGGTTCCCAAGGTAGCAAAAGATACTGGGATTCCTGGTAGATTTTAAGAAAGTGTGGTGAACTAGAGAGGTGCCGAGTGACTGAAGATGAGAAATTTTTCTGTTTTCAAAAAAGGGAAGAACATGAATTACTGAATATAGATTGATAAATTTGTCTTCAGTTATGATTAAAGTTTTTAGACTACATTATTAAAAAAATAACAGTGATAACTGCGTAAGAACCAGACATACCAGACTAATTTCGTATTTTGATATGGCTGTTAGAATAATGAGAATTACAATATTAGCTTACATTTATTGAATACTTTCTATGTACCTGGGGTGGTTCTATGCACTTTATCTGGGTTAATTTACTTAATCCTCACTATAATCATAAGGTAGATACTATCATTACCCCCATTTTATTGACTAAGAAACTGAAACACAGTCTTAAGTAATTTGTCCAGGTCATAAAGCTAGAACATGGTAGAGCCAGGATTCAAATGCAGACTTTTAACCACTTCAAGGAACAGGATGTCAGCATGGCATTAACTATGTTACTGTGGATGAGACAGAGCAACCGAGGCTACATGGCCATAGGTAGTTGTATTAAAAATTAGTTGTATTACTTTATTCAGAAGATTTGATTTTAACTCAAGTCTCTGCTGTTTTGTCATAGGGCTTTGTCCTGACTTGGTCTTATATTTTATTAATGTTTTGAAAAAAGGAAATTGTTAGGAGCAATATAATGTAGTGGTTAAAAGAATGGGCTTTATTGTCAACCTGCTTGAGTTCAAATCTCAGGTCCTCTACCTACTGGCATTGTAACCTTGAGCAAGTAACTAAACCTCTCTGGACTTTAGTTTACCTGTTAATAAAATGAAAATAATACTAGTAACTGCTTCATAAGGTTTTCATGAGGGTTAAATGAGTTAATATCTGTAAATCTCTTAACCCAGTGCCTGGTACAAAGCTCAACAAATGTGAGCTATTATTATCATTGCATTGTTATCAGATTTTCTAACAACTGAAAGCTGATACGATAGTAAATTGTATTGTTTGAGAAAATCAGGATCTCTAAAAGTTGCTTAAAAATTGGAACGGAAGGATAAATCTAGTACCTAATCAGTGCTGAGAATTGCTGCATTAGCTAATGAATGCTAGAGCACTTCACATACTGTAGAACTTACAAATGTAATTTACTCTTAGATCCAAATAGCCAGTTATGCCTCAGTTCAGCATGTGGTAGATACAACTAGAGGATTCAGCTGCCCATAAACTTAATATAAGACAATATTGTGCGGTGACACCCTCCCCCCACTCCCCTCCACACCAGTCAAAAAGTTCTGCAGACAAGGAAAGTATCGGACTCCTGAATCCTATTGCTTGGTATTCCATGATAGCATCTCCTGATATTGCTGAGGCTGCCATGTGAAGAAGCATGCAGGCTTGTTTTATGTGACTGCAGTGTGCAGAAGCAGCAACAACGAGAATAAGTTTAACTCAGCACATGAAAGAACTTTCTAATTGTGTTTTTGAAAATAACACAAGCTAATTTAGGTGATAGCTTCCTGTCCTTGCAGGCATGTCCAAACAGAATTGGATGCCAAAGAGAACCTCAAGCATGTGACAGGAGTTAGATAAGCTCCAAATTCCCCTCCAGCCCTAAATTTCTAAAGAGGTCATGGTACAGACAGATTCCATCCAAGTCATAAGTGCTGCCATCCTTAAAGTGCCTGGGTTAGGAGCCTGGGCAGCTTGATCAGGTAGCAAAACGAACAAAAGCCTATCTGTTTGCTAGATCAGGTGACTAGCCCTTTTTCTAAGCTTCAGTTATAATAGAGTAACTTAATTCCTTACCTAATATAATAGGATTTGTAAACCCACCTGCTTATATCTGGGGACTCCTTTTTTGTTGTTTGTCTTCTTTCCCTCCTTTGTTTCCTGGTAAAGCTTCTTTCACAGAATCACGGTTTGTTTCAGCTAAACTAAAGGAAGAGGGATATATAGACACAAAGGCCAACAGAGGAGTCAGAGTTTCCTTGGAGGCCAAGAGTCTGGGTGACATTCCCCTCTGGACTTGATCTGACTTTTAAGCATGAGTCAATGCCCATAATGGTGAGTCCCTTCTAGTTTATCTAATTATTTTTAAAGTAATATTGGTAATTGTTTGCAAACATACTTCACAACTGATCACCTCATACTGGTGGGTCACAACACCAAGGATGAGACCATCTGATGTGTATTAGTGTAAAAGAATATAAGGGGTTTGAAATCTGATAGCTCTAGTTTCAAGTTTCAGCTTCACACTTGCGTATCAACAGGTTCAATCTAACCGAGGTAATGTTCTTTTAAGAAACCCTCATCGATAATTCAAATAGCCAGAATTCTATAAGTTAGGGGTTGGCAAACTACACCCTCAGCCTGTTTTTGGAAGTTATTAGAGCACAGCCATGCCCATTCATTTACATATTGTCTATGGCTATTCTCAGGCTACAACAGCAGAGTAGTTGTGACAAAGACTCTATGGACCACAAAGCCTAAAATACTATCTGACCTTTCACATAAGAAGTTTTCTGACCCATGCTATAAGTAGTCCAGTCTTTTAGATTCAAATTGATAATTCAAAGGGGCTTAACATCCCAAAGTTCTGTCTGAATCATCAGAGAAAAATTTAAGCGTGGAAATAATATATCATGGTCTCCACTAACCTATATGGCCTTTTTTTTCAAATTGGATAAAGGTGCTCCTTAAGACAATTATTGTAATATACTGATTTTGTTATAATAAAACTTAGTGCCATTGTCCAGAAAAATCATCCTACTAAATCTACAGTGCAAATCTACAATGTCTACAATATGAATTGCACTACCCTGTACAACCATAAGGAGTCCTAGTGGCACAGTAGTTAAAGCACTTGGCTACTAACCAAAAGGTTGGCAGTTTGAACCCACCAGCCACTCCGTGGGCAAAAGATCTATAGATCTATGGCAGTCTGCTTCTGTAAAGATTTACAGCCTTGGACACCCTATGGGGCAGTTCCCACTCTGTCCCATAGGGTCACTATGAGTCGGAATCGAAATGACAGCAATGGGTTTGTTAAAGATAATACTAATAATAACTAAGCTAACATTTATTAAGTACTCACTGTATGCAGGCACTGTTCTAAGTGCTTTATATGTATTGACTTATATTCTGAGGCACTTCTGGGTGAACTTGAACCTCTAACCTTTCAGTTAGCACCCAAGCACTTTAACTGTTTGCACCACCAAGCGACCACACAAAATTGTTAGATTATAATAAAGGGCTACTTAAGCTTCCACTTACCCAGCCCCTAAATGCAGGAGGCAGACTCTAGGTGTGATTCATTTGCTGTCTCTGCTTAACAAGATACACCTTTGAGCAGAAACAATTTCCCTGGGTGTGCTTCAGAGAACCCACCATCCTCATGTAGGTGAATAAGCTGTGACTGAAATTAATACTGGAATTGTATGTGTACTTTAATATGAAGCTTGGTATCGCATGTGTGTTTTGTTTTACCTAATGATGGTTTGCCTAATTTCCAAGCCCACTTGCATTTGAATTTCACACTCCAAGCTTCTGCAGGGTGGGGAAAGCTGAAGGAGGTGGATAACACAGACTGTATTTTATTCCTGGCGTTGTCTGGCATGCTGAATGACTGGTGTGCAGGTGGTGATATGTGGCAGGACATCTAGGGCAAGGTTAGTGGCCCATTAAGGTTAGAGAGAGCTTGGAGCCAGCAGAGCTGTCAACACTCAGTTTCTTTTTGATTAAGATTCTGCATCTTAACCCCTGGAGGCCACTTATCCTTCCCACTTCCAGAAAAAGACAGAGTTAAAGCCTTGAGGTCATTGCTTAGTGGAAGCCCCAGGAGCTGTCCAAGCCAAAAAGGGCCTCTAGTAGCCTCTGTCAGTAGCTGTTACATTATCAGCCTCCTGTGCTGACAGGTGAGCTCATGTCCTGTGATGTACAGAACTCCCAAGCTAAAACGGCTCTCACAGGAGCAGCTTCTCAAGGGAGAGTGAAGATGCTTAAGGAAACCCGCTGGTGAGGTAGGGAGGTCAGGGGGAAATGGGGTTGTTAATTATTGTGGTCACTTTGGCTGTTTCAAGGATGATTTTTTTTTTTTTTTTTTTGAGGCCATGCTGGGGGTCAGGATATTATTCCCCACCTCCAAATAGGAAAAGAGTTCCATTTTCTACTCTCATTGAGATTCAGTCTGGCTTATCTCAATAAGTTTTAGTCTATAAGCTCCTCACTCAGCTGCAACTCCTTAAAAGTAAAGATTATATCTTATTCATCATTGTATTCCTAGTGTATGCATAATGACTGGTGCATAGTTAGGGCTTGCAAATGTTTTCAGGTGAAATAATTACAGATTTAATGATGCAGTGTCTGGAATTTGCTTTAAAGTAATATGGGAGGACGGAGGAACTGAGTGGAAGTATAGATGAAACAAGATTGACCATGAGTGAAGATTATTTAAGCTGAGTGGTATACTGTTCTCAGTACTCTATAGTTTTGTATTTGTTTGAAATTTTCCACAATAAAAAGTTTTGTTTTGTTTTGTTTTTTTTACTATCTGAAGAAAGTATAGCAAATGTTGAAAGATGTGGCAAATATTGCCCCGATGCTCTCCCAACAGTCTCATCTAGCAAAAACTAAGCACATGATTAGATTACATTTTCTAGTCAGGCTTTTTGACCTAAGTTCTGGCCAATGGAATGTGGACAGAGGAGATGTAAGCCTCTTCTAAGTGTGACCCTTAAAGTTTTCTGCATGATCCTCTCTATGCTTTCTCTCTTCCCTTGCCTCCAGGCTGGATGCAGAAAATTTAGTGAAAGACTCCAAGCTCCTAAGGAATAATGGGGCCTAGGTGAAAGAGCCTGGACCTCTGAATGACTTCATGGAGTAGAACCATCTCCCACCCTTTACTGATGAAACTGCAATAGACTGTGATGTGAGCAAGAAATGAGCCTTTATGGTATTAATAAAGAAAGATACAGTACTGAATTGTCCAAAATCTGGCAAATCAACTTTTGAGCCTGCCTGTTTTAGACATGGGAGGAAGTAGTTATTTGATTCTCCTTAATCCATAGCAAGCCCTGATGGTGCAGTGGTTAATCATTTGGCTGCTAACTGAAAGGCTGGCAGTTCAAACCCACTAGCTGTGCCATCGGAGAAAGATGTGGCAGTCTGCGTCTATAAAGATAATATGGATAAACTAAACTAACGTTTATTAAGTACCCACTATATGCAGGCACTGTTTTAAGTGCTTTATATGTATTAACTCATTTAATCCTCAAAACAATCCTATGAGGTAGAAGCTACTTTTGGCCCCATTTTATAGTAGAGGAGACTGAGAGAATAAGTAACTTGCCTAAGTCAAACAGTATCTGGTCAGCATGATGTATCACCTACAGAGGCAGTGCTGGACCCCCATTCTGGGGAGGAGTGCACAGAACAGGAAAAGATCTAAAGTCTGCCCTTCCTCTGCCCATGTAAAGGGTGTCCTAGTGAGCAGAACTTAATGATGGTGTTCTTGATCATTTGGGCTAAAAGTGAATGCGAGGGCTTCATTCATTCTGAATGCATCTTCTTTGATTCAATTCTGTTCATCTCTACTCAGCCCTGGCTGCTCCTGCATGTGCCACAAGGAGAAAGTATCTGTCATGTGCTCCACTCTCACTCCCCACTCCCCCGCATTTCCTGCCTGGACCAGCTTTTAGGCCTGCCTCTCCCTGACTCCACCCCAGAGCCTACATTCTCTCCTCTCTTCCAGGCAACTCAGAGCACGTATCAGGGCAGGGAGTCATGTACATGCTCATCCAATCTCTAAATGAAAATAGCAATTAATGACTCCCTTGCTTCCTGACCGCACTTGCCTGCTTCAGATGCTCCCTATCCTCAACAGCCAGGAGAGCTGGAGACACCATCAAGCCTTTTTCCAAGGTTCCACCCAGGACAGGGGCTTTCAAACTGCATTCCATAGAGAGGCTTCAGGAGCCACCCGAGAAGGTGGGAAAATATACAGAGAAGGTTGAATGAGTGAGGCTCTAAATGCCCCAACCCCACTTCTATCAGAGCATTTCCAATTTATCTGCTCCATATAAGATTTGATTTTAAGAACTGTTCTACTGAGAGAGAGAAATAGAAACACTTGGCTTTGGAAAATCCTTTCCAAACCTTAAATCCCTTCCTTACTTCTTGCACTTCTCAGGTCCCACCATTCCTGCCCATCAGGAGCAGAGGTGGGAAAAAAGCCCAGCTGACTCTCCCAACTCACAACATCCA